TACCTTGGTGTCCTCCAATTTGAGACAGTTCCTCAGTCTTTCCCTGTCTTTCACGACCTTGAGATTTTTGAAGAGTACTGGCCAGTTACTTTGTATGTCCCTCGATTCGGATTGGATTGATGTTTCTCCACGGTTAGATTGCAGTCACGTGTTTTTGGCAAGAACACCACAGAAGTGATAGGCCCTTCCCAGCACATCGTGGTGGGAGATGCGTGAGTTTATAGGTCATTACTGTGATCACTTGGTTAAGGTAGTGTCTGCCAGGTCTCCGCACTCTAAAGCTCCTAACTTACCCTTTGTAATTAATAAATACCTTGGGGGAGTACTTTGAGGTTATGCATATTAATGTCCTGTGTTTTTGTCAACTTTCACCCACTAATTTTAGCAGCCATCTGTCTTACCTCCAGCAGTTCCTACTGTGGTGTGTGCTTAAGGCTGATGTTTCTATTTCCTTCTTCTACGTTTTATGTTAAAACAAACATGCCTTTTACTAAGGAGAGTGTAAAAGGTATAATGATTTTTAAGCTAGTACATAACTTCAAACAGATTTTAAGCTTAGGGTGGGTATAACTTCCCCAGACCTCCTGGAGGAGCGAAAGTACTTACTTCTCTTCTCAAGGCGACAGTTTTGAGAATCGGTGGCAGAAGAGGGACTGAGTCAGACAGAACTAGGTTGAAATCCTACTTCTGCTTCTTACCTGCGTTTTGGCCTTGAGCAATGGCTCCACCTGCCTGGGCCTTTGTTTCTTCATCTGTAAAATGGGCCAATAGTGTTGTCTCAAACACACACACACACACACACACACACACACACACACACGTGCAGTACTGTGATTCACAGGATTAGTCAGCATTTGTGAAATGCCATAAGGCACCCAGACAGTGGTGCCATATGGAAGAAGATTAATCACGGTGGTAATAGGATTATTATTAACACTATTAAAGCCATCTAGAGCACTCCATGGGAGTTGTTTAAAATAAAAGTTGCAAATGGCAGGCTACACACACCTTTTTTTTTGCCCCAAATACCTGCTTGTTTGTGTTTTTAATTGAAATTAGTTGCCAACATTTTAAAAACTGGGCTTTTTCATTAAAATATGATCTCTGGATTCTCAGAGAAAAAATGGGAACATGAGGCCACCTTGGGAACTACGTGAGTGGTTCATAGCACTGGCTCTGGGTGGGCGAGAGCCCGTGTTACCCCCCGGTCTGACGCCCTAGAGCTGGAAAATGGTGTCTTCCTTTCAGGTGGTGGCCAGGACAGAATGAGATGAGCCAGGGAACGAACTTAGCCCAGGGCCAGGAACGCAGTGGACACTCAATAAATACTAGACTGTGCCAGGCACGGTGGTTCATGCCTGCAATCCTAGCATTTTGGGAGGTCCAGGTGGTAGGATTGCTTGAGGTCAAGAGTTCAAGACGAGCCTGGGCAACAGCAAGACCCCATCTCTACAAAAAATAAAAAAAATTAGCCGGGCATGATGGTGCGTGCCTGCAGTCCCAGCAACTCAGGGTGCTGAGGCAGGAGGATCACTTGAGCCCAGGAGTTTGAGGTGGCAGTGAAATAGGATCACACCACTGCACTCCAGCCTGGGCAACAGAGCAAGACCCTATCACACACACAAAAAAAATAAATAAATACTATACCGCGTTGATGTTAGTTGTGACCTTTTTAGGCAAGGCTTGTGCTGATATGTCTGACACACTTCCTGTTTCTCTCATTTTGTTACCTGCCTGGGCCCTAAGTTTGCATCTGGTTTAAGAGAGGCTTTTTTTTTTTAAAGTCCCAAAGTGCTGGGATTACAGGTGTGAGCCACCACACCCGGCCTGGTTTAAGAGAGGCTCAACCCTCTCAGGTCCCTCAGTCCCTTCCCCAAGGGACTGTTGGGAAATGTGTTCCTTTCAGAGTGTTAGTTTACATTTAATTGCTCTGTGACCTTAAGAAATGACTTACGCTCTCTCAGCCTGGGCTTCCTCTTCTGTCAAACGGGATCAGTCATCCAGCCTCGCAGGACTGGCTCACATCTGTCAAATGCCAGCAGCCACTCGGGAAGTGTGTGCCATTATGGTGACAGTGTGGGGCACTGACATGGGGGTTCCAGATAGGTCTTGACCCTCCATCTCTCCCCTGCCCCAGGACGAAGCTGGTGCTGGAGAACCTGGAGGACGCCTGTGTGCTGACCGGGCCAGACGACTCCCTGTGGGACAAGCATGCCTGCCCGGCCTACGTGGGACCCGAGATCCTCAGCTCGCGGGCATCCTACTCGGGCAAGGCGGCTGATGTCTGGAGCCTGGGTGTGGCGCTCTTCACCATGCTGGCCGGCCACTACCCTTTCCAGGACTCAGAGCCTGCCCTGCTCTTTGGCAAGATCCGCCGAGGGGCCTTTGCCCTGCCTGAGGGCCTCTCAGCTGCTGCCCGCTGCCTGGTCCGCTGCCTCCTTCGACGGGAGCCAGCTGAGCGACTCACAGCCGCAGGCATCCTGCTGCACCCCTGGCTGCGGGAGGACCCGATCCCTTCAGCCCCATCCCGATCCCACCTCTGGGAGGCTGACCAGGTGGTCCCCAATGGACAGGGGCTGGAGGAGGCAGAGGAAGAGGAGGGAGAAAGAGAGGTAGATCTATATGGCTAGGGCCACCTTACTTGACTCTCAGCTACAAACAGTGGATTGCGTTTGGGGTGTCCCCAAGCTTTCTCCTGCTACTTTGAACTGAGCCAAACCTTAAGTGCCTTCTAGGAGGGAGAAAGGAAGCCTGTGCAAGTGTGCTGTGTGCTCACCTGTGTGTTCTACACACACACAAGGCCTGCTTGGGCGCTTCCTGTGTGCCAAGCTCTGTGCTAGGTGCCAGGAACACATCAGTGAGCAAAGGAGACAAAACTCCCTGCTCACAGAGCTGGCAGGCTGGCATTCTTTTTTTTTTTTTTTTTTTTGAGACAGGGTCTCACTGACTCTGTCACCCTGGCTAGATTGCAATAGTAGCGTTGGCCTAGCTCACAGCAACCTCAAACTCCTGGGCTCAAGTGATCCTCCTGTCTCAGCCTCCTGAGTAGCTGGGGCTATAGGTGTGCATGACCATGCCTGGCTAATTTTTCTATTTTTTGCAGAGACAGGGTCTTGCTGTTGCTCAGGCTGGTCTTGAACCCCTGACCTGAAGCAATTCTGCCTCAGCCTCTCAAAGTGCTAGGATTTACACGTGTGAGCCACTGTGCCTGGCCAGGCTGGCATTTTTGAGCTGACAACACTTTTCCACACCCAGAGGTCAGTGTCTACACAGGGCACACTTAATACCAGTGTCGGCC